GGGCTGGAGAAGGGGTCGGACCCGCGCGGGGTGTTCGGGGGTCGCAGGTCCGAGCAGGTGTAAGGTCGGGGCTTGTTCTCCGGCGGCGGCGGCGGCGCTTCCTGAGTTTGCAAGTCAAACTGCCCGTTGCTCCAGCCGGAGCTGCCAGGGCGCTGTCGTCCTATCGGGAGAACACCGCCAGGGGCGGGTCGGCGTTCGGAACCAGAACTCTGAGACGCGCGGCACGTGTGTCTCTGCCAGGTTGTTTATAACTGCTTCCGGCAGACACCGGCCCAGCGAGGACTGACACTGCTGCTTGGGAAGCGAGTGCTGCCCGTCGGCGTTGGATGTTTAGTTGCTGACTTCTCCGAAGGGGTCGCTCTCGGAAGTCGCTCTAGCCCCTGGGGAGCGGTACAGTCGGTGTGGTTGCCCAGTGGGAACTCAGAGACAGGTGCCTTTTTGTCCCGTGTGGGAAGGAGAGTTTGATCAGAGTTACGCAGGTGGCAGCGGCCACGAGGGATGGGTGTGTATTTGAGGAACAGCATCTCTTGATTTTGTGTCAGGTGCTCTGAGTGTTGGCATCTCCCACGAACCCAGGATTTTGTCTTGAGCCCCTTTGCTTCCCTCCCCACGCTCTCTCCCTGGTTGATCTGTGCTACCCTTGGCTGTCCATACTTTCTGGCGGTTTCCCTAATTAATGTTCCCAGCGCTGAGCTCGAGATCTGTAATCCAGGTACCTTCTGGAGTTCCCCAGCTGCATGTCTGATGGGCAGCCCAAACTGGCCCTGCTCCCCAAACCTGTTCCTGTCCCAGTCCTGCCTCCTCCTCTGTGACCCCGTCCTTCAAGGGCTCAGCTTGAACTCTCCAGTTTTCCACTGATCCCTCCACATTCAGTCCAGCAGCAAGGCCCACGGGTGTCTCCAGCTCTTGTGCCCCAGATCCCTCTTGTTTGGGTGGCTCCTTATTGATCTTCCTGCTCAATTCTCAAAAGCCCACATTCCCTGTTTTAATTTTTAAAAAAGTTATTGAAGTATTGAACATGTACTTTGCTATCTATAAAATAGTGTCCCTAATGTGTATGTCAGTGACGAAAGATAAGAATAGTGCTCCCAGGGCTGGCACCTGCCCCACCCTCCTTCCTCAGTAGCACCTCCTGAGTTTCCCATTTCATGTGTGTTTACTGCAGAAGCACATTACGTGGTTGGCCTTGTTTTTGTCCTTTACTGAACTATCTGCCACACTTAGGCCTCTGCTGTAACTTGCTGTATTCATCAGCTGGTTTCTAAGCGTTGTCCATGTGACTGTCTTCATTTATTTTAACCACTTTAGTAAATCCTGCTGTGTGAACACATGATCAAAATCCCATCTCGGCAACCTAAATCCAAATAACTCTGAAAACCAAGTGTTTGTTTTTGTATTTAACCTGTTTGATGGTGAAACCTGACCTGGCAGGGGTTGTTGAATGGCCTCTGTTCCCCTCAGCACAAATACCCGTTTCACAGAAGAGATGATGTTTGATTATGGAGTGCTGACCTGACCTTGTGAGGATGCCGTGTCATATAGTGTAGACTATGCCATGTAGGCTTTGTGTGGTCTGAAAAGTTCTGGATCCTAACAAACCCTCCCAAGGGTTTGGGGCCTGGGGTTGTGGACCCAGGAACACAGTGGCAGGTACGTGCTGCTGTTTGATGGATGTTGGCATGTGGCTTCTATTTCCTGTCATCTTGAACAGTGTTTCTGTGAACGGGCTTGTCTGTCTGGTGACAGTGGTGAGTTTTCAAGGTCTGGTCTAGCAGGAGTGGAATCACAGGGCTGTAGAGGCACACATGTTCGGCCTCACAAGGGCTGCCAGATGTTTCAAAGTTCGGCCTGCTCTGACAACAGTGAGCTCTGGACAACAACTGGTCTTTGTGATGCTGGTGGTATCATTCTTAGTCTTTATCAGTCTGGTGATCGATTGTGAGCTCCTTTTGAGCACATATGTCACAGCATATAATTATTTAGCTCATACCTCTGGCAGCTGCCCTTTGCACTTAGGGGAGATATCTAAACTCCCTCCTCAGTCAGCCTCACTCAGTCTGACCCCAGATGACCTCTTGACCTCTTGGTTCTTTGACCCCTGGCTCTTTCTTGCATTCATCCTACCTTCTGAACACCAAGTCTTCTGCCTGGTCCCTAACCCTGAGTTCAGGTCGCAAGCCCTTTGTATGTGCTGTTCTTGAGATTTAAAGTATCTTTCCACCTCCATTGCTTCTTACTACATCACTGTGTTTATTTCTGAAATGATCACAGTTGTTAAGAGAATTCTTCACCAATCCCTAAAATGTTTTTTTCCCCGTAGAAATAAATCAGAATGAGTTACACAGAGAAACCTGATGAAATCACAAAAGATGAGTGGATGGAAAAACTCAATAACTTACATGTGCAGCGAGCAGACATGAATCGCCTCATCATGAACTACCTGGTCACAGGTAACAGCCTGCAATCAGGATGCTACAGATGCTCCCCCCACCTTTTCTTTTTTTAATCCTCACCCGGGGATATTTTTTTCATTGCTTTTCAGAGAGAGAAACATCGATGTGAGAGAGACACATCGATTGGTTGCCTCCTGCAAGCACCCCAACCAGGGGCTGGGGATGGAGCCTGCAACCAAAGCACGTGCCCTTGGCCAGAATTGAACCCAGGACCCTTCAGTCCACAGGACGGCTCTCTAACCACTGAGCCCAACCGGCCAGGGCCCAGATGCTCCTTTTTTGTATACACACGCAGAGTTTACCACTGAGGATCCATGTGCAGTTAGGTTTGTTCTGGCTTTATAAAAATGCAATGTTAACCTATCAAATTTGTATATTACCACATTAAAAATAGCCTCTTCTGGAGATGAGATCATTGTGCCCGGTCTCTGAGACCTACTGAAGGCAAAAAGCTGTTTCTTGGCTTTTGACATTTTTGCAGTTAATCAAGATCATTAAGAATATTCTGAAGTACATTTAAAGCCCGAGTTGTTGATCTCTCCTGGTCAGTCTGGTAAATTATACTTGACTGTTTCTAGAAGGTGCTCAGCTTAAATGAGGGTGCGGGGGGGCAGAGCATATGAGGGAAACAAGTGGTCTGTAGCTGACACTCAGTCCTCGTGATAGTGGGAAGAAAAAGGGCAATTCTGCGCATGGTAGGAGGCCCAGACGGTTAAGGGATGTCTTTTTTCTGGTAGTTCTGAGTAGTCCCCTCCCTACTAGTAGTCTTTGTTGAGTTTTTTGGACAGGTGAGGCAGAAATGTGAGCCTGTAGCTCTGTGTGTGTGTGTGTATAGAGAGAAGGGCTACTTCAGTGGGGAGGGCTGTGGACTCACAGACAGGAGGGTGTGGCTGGATCCTAGAGGCTGTGTGAATTGTTGCCTCACCTGGACCAGACCTGCAGCTGCTCTGCAGCTGGACCTGGGGTCACAGCCACCTTCAGGGAGTCTGTGCCAGCATGTCGGATTTCATTTTCTGTGTTTCAAGGGCATAACTAGGAATTCACCAAGATATTAATACCTAACCCCTAAGGAAGTGCAGTTCTCTTGGGGGTTATTTACTCAAGGCAAGGGGGCTTACAGCACTGAAAAAGTATGCATTAATGGTCTTGCTGACTTTCTGAGCAGTGAGGCTGGTTTTCATTTCCAGAGGGCTTTAAGGAAGCTGCAGAGAAGTTTCGAATGGAGTCCGGGATCGAGCCTAGTGTGGACCTAGAAACCCTTGACGAGCGAATTAAAATCCGCGAGATGATCCTGAAGGGTCAGATTCAAGAGGCGATTGCCTTGATCAACAGCCTCCACCCAGAGCTGCTAGACACCAATCGCTACCTTTACTTCCACCTGCAGGTGAGTTTTGGTTGAGGGGCATCTCCTTTATGGACCCTCAATAGGTGACTTGTGATGATTCAGAAGTGATAGGTGAATCTGTGTTAACAGAACATTAATTTATGTGGGGAAGGGGTTTGAATTAGCTGTCTTGCTTTGTATTTCAGAAGCGGTTTCTTGCTTTAAAAAATGCAAATTTAATTAGTCAGAGATGTTAGAAAAGTGCCCTTTAAGATGTCATTTTGACTAGAGAGCAGTGTGGTGCCACTGGGGCTGCTGGCGCAGGTGCGATGTATAAGCCTGTGTGTCTTGGCCCCTGACTAGCAACAGCACTTGATTGAGCTGATCCGCCAGCGGGAGACAGAGGCAGCACTGGAGTTCGCGCAGACGCAGCTGGCTGAGCAGGGGGAGGAGAGCAGGGAGTGCCTCACGGAGATGGAGCGCACGCTGGCCCTGCTGGCCTTTGATAACCCTGAGGACTCACCCTTTGGAGACCTTCTGAATATGATGCAGAGGCAGAAGGTAAAGAACCAGCATGGGGTGACTCCCGTATAGAATGAGGGGCATGCTGTGTCTGGGCTTATGACTCTGGTTTGACAGCACCAGTTCTTCCTGGTGTTCGGTCCTTCATCTTGTGGAGCTGGGTGTAGAGAGCTCTGTGACTGTACCCGAGAGCACAGCGACCCTGAACCACTGGGGTTTCTGGGCACCATGTATGACTTTGATTCCCCAGGAACCTCCTTGTTGTACATTTGCTCCTCGGTACCGCGGGGATTGGTCTCAGAACCTCTACCCCCTTATACTCCC